TTTTGTAAGAGAAGCCCTTACTTTGCATTGCAACCTGGGAATATACAAAAATATGGCTGTCTCTGGCAACACAAATGTTGGTTAGAAAAATAATCCAGCCTTTTAAAGCCTAACATTGTGGGACCACAAAAAAAATCAAGGTAGGAAGGTTTTGAGTTAGAGAAATAGGTATTGGGGAAAATAAAGAAGAATCAAAGGAAATTGTAAATGATGATATTCTGGGCCTTCAACTGTTTCTTTGATGAGTTGACAGCAGGCTGAATTTGGAGGCAAGTGTTCATTTGCTCAATCAGTCTTAAAGCACTTTAAATTACATTCTTATTGCCTTTCTCATTCCTGTGTCAATTAAATGAAGAGCCAAAAGGCCTCCAGAAAATTTGAGTTATGGAGATTTGAGGGAGAAAAGCCTTCAAGTTTTCAATTCATTGTTTCTAAAAAAAAAATTCAGAGAGAAACTTTCAAAAAAAAATTTGGCACAGTGAGGTATACAACTTCTAAAGTTTTCCCTTCAGTAATCTCTCCTTTTTTCAAGTACTGTATTGTATTTTCAACAGTACTTTGTAGAACAGGTTTTACAGTATTTTCAACACCCATCAGACAGTTAAACCCAAAATCACATGTTCAATTCTTTAATGAAGCATGGTTTATAAGCTCTTGAGAATTCCTCACAGGTTTCCTCAGAAATTTGAACTTGAAACTCACCCAATTTCTGAAACCCCGAATTCTGGCTTTTGTCAAGTTTGGCACAAACACCGGATCCTCTGCATTCTTCAGGCTTAGTCAAAGGTTTGCAGAGACTAACAAAAACGTCTCCAGAGCCACCACTTGCCAGATATTTCCCACCTCGCGACAAATTCGCAAAATCAAATGTCCATCCGTGGAGGTCATCAGTCACCTTACAGTCGTTTCCTGTGACTCTCTGTTTTTCAAGAGGGAAAAAATATGAATGATTGTTTATGACTGGATACAATTAAAAAAATAAAATAAAACTAACCTTCAGTGGACAAGCGAATCGCGTTTTCCAAGTGATTTGATAATCACAAGCTGTGCTGTTTACAACAGGCGCTTCTCCTTTGTGCTCAGCAACACAAATCAGGGTCAAGACAGCTGAAATCTTCTTTGATTTGTCACTGGGACATCTACTTCCTTCTGTAAACTCCAGAAAAAAAAATAAAGAAAACACTCAATAAACACAACATCTACGCATAAAAAAAACTAGACTTCGGTTCTTACGACATCGGACTAGACTTTCTGGGATATTAGACAGGTGTCACCTGAATCGCTAGCCTACGAAAAAGTAACTCTGCCAAATCCCTAATACAGTATGATGCACCAACGATTCAACACAGAGGGAAAAAAAATGAATGAACTCGACAAAAATTACCGATCCATTCTAGCGAGTTGATTAAAATATAATTTCAACAAAATCGGGCGACATCTACGCAAAGTTAAGAAAATTCAGGATCTGAAGACCTCAGTAGGATGCGTTTCTTGACTGATAAATAGAGATCAATCTGGGACTAAAATACTAGTCTTTCGTAAACCAAATAAAAAGTACGTTGGTTACCCCAACACTACATAGATGTCGCATGAATCTCTGACCAGACCGTACCTCAAATAATCATCCTTGACATAAATAAACGCATTAACAGACCCTAATTTAACGCTTCCAGATTTAATTAAACTAATTATAGGCAAACAACCGGGAGTACGTAACGAAGGTCCAATAAAATTAAAAAAAAAAAATGAATAATAGAGCGACATCCAATCCACAATTAGATTTTTTGATTCAAAGGAAGACAAGTTTTTCATTGACTCTTGATGAGTCTTGACTCACCAAAAACCTTGACTATAGTCTGTGATGGAGACACTTGCTCTGCTTTCCAGTATCTTCCCAAAGACATGTTTTTCTTCGACGTTTCCTGAGTTAGACATCCGTAAACGTACGCGGATGAATCTGCCAGAAAAAAAAAAAACAATTCGAATCTTGAGAATGTTCGAGAGGATTTTCAATCGGTCTTTCAATTATATTTTATTTTTTTGCTTCTCACCAGCATTTCGACAAATGTCCGAGTTCGAATGCGGCTTGAAGGGTTTGCACAAATTGATATTCAGGGCCTGAGATGCATTTAATTGGATGGCCAACGGAGACTCGAACATGGCACGCAGATCCACTTCTTTCCCGTTCTTGGTTCGCAACCGACATCTGTCGTTGGAGTCGGACAATTTTCCGGCCCACAGGCAAACAACCGGGTGCTCCAAAACCAAGGACCCATTTACTAAACCAAAAGTCTGGGCTGCTGCACACTCCAACCTCACGTCCACAGATTTTTCTTTTCCTGCAGACAAAATGTATATTTTTAGCCATGCACATTTTATCTGGTTTAAAAAAAATGTTACTTTAATTCTTCATAAAAATTCAAGATATTGTTTTTTAATACTGTTGGTATACTTTTCGTTGAAAATAACGCCTTTTTTCCGGTTGAGTAAATGAACATTATTCAACCACTTCTTCATTCCACCTGATCACCTGTATGCCAATTATAATTTTAAACGTTAATGATATTTTGTTCGCGGAGAAATCACGGAATTACCTCAGGATGCTGTAATAATTTTTTCAGACTGGCTTTTTTCTGATAAAAGGTTATCTTCACTGGAAACTCAAAATTTGAGGTAATGAAGAGCAGTACCTAAATCCTGCATCAAGTTCGCCTGGTGTTCTGAGAATGAATCAATAAATTATTAATTGATAAGATCATGGTGCAGATCTCGAACATCTCAATTGTCATAAATATTTTTTTCGTTTGTTTTACAGCCATTCAAAATTCACGATACAAAAAAATAGGGCAGGGTTACCAAAATGTAAATTACACGAAGTTTACCAGAAAAGGGAGAGAGAAGTTTCTACATGATTATCCATAATTTTCAGTTACTGTAAATTTAAATTTTTTACTCAATGACGTAATTGAAATCAATTACTGTAGTTAATCCTTTAATATCAATTTTGACACAGTGTCAATTCTAAAATACCCCGGTAATTCATTCTTGCCAATTAAATTAGACTAATAAAATTCGATTTTATTATCAAGTATTTTGTCTCAAACCAGAATATTTTCTCCCCGCACTCAAATCCGAGTAATTCATCTACATTAATTTTGCAGCATCCACACAGTGAATCATCTTAGTTCTTGGTTTAAAATTGCAGAAGATAGAAAGTTTCAAAATCTGGATCTTGCCAATTAAGTTAAAGTAATAAAATTCCGTTTTATTACATTATACACATTATTACATTATATTACATTTTATTGATTCTCTCTCAAACCAGTATATTTTCTTTCCGCACTCAAATTCGAGTAATTTATCTACATTAATTTTGCAGCATCTACACAGAGAATCATCTTAGTTCTTGGTTTAAAATTACAGAAGATAGAAAGTTTCAGAAACTGAATAGATGCACCTTGAAATGAAATAAAATATAAAAAAATTTACACGCATAATTCAGGGAATACCAGGAACTTTGCATAGGGATTTGATTAGTTTGGAAATGCGACCTGAAGTCTATAAGCACATCACGAGGCAATCGCAAGCACCGACAAACAATCGGATCAACCCGACGCCGAAACTCGGGTTTCAGAGCACTTCTCTTTCTTTTTTTTCATCATTCTCTTTTTTTTACCATTGAGCATAAGGAGATCCAGGTGTAAGACGAGCCCCGTCTTAGCTTCGAAGCGTGGGCGGTCGAGGGCGACCCTAAGGATCCGACCGCCTTCCACGGAACAGGAAATTGTAATCGGTGACATTCTGGGCATTAAATTGCTTCTTCCATGAGTTGACACGATCCTGAACTTCGAGACATTGGATTCATTTACCCAATCTTTCACTTGGATTTTGTTTTTCAATTTCGCTTTCCTGTGTCAATAAAATAATAGTCAAAAAGACCTTCAGAAAATTCGAGTTACGGAGGTTTTAATGCATGGATTCTAAGGGAATTCAGACAAGGGCTTGAAAACAAATTAATCGACTTGGGGATGTTAAGAGTTTTCGAGGTTTAACTGGACTGTGGTTCAAAAAAATAAATTATTGGCTCAAATAACGTATGACACCATCAAGTTTTCATGCACTGCACTAAAATAATAATAAATAAATAAATTCGCAGGCTGGAAAAATGACGCACGAAAAAATCGCCGCCAAATTTAGGACTTGCTTATTTTCATTGCATTGAGTTTCTTCAGAATCTAGAGTCTTTTTCATTCAACTCATGCTTCCATTAAAAGTCTGATCATTCAGCCAGATTTAATGTTTGGGTTACTTTAAACAAAAAATGTCACCTTTCAGCTAAATTTTCATAAAAATGGATACAGGAGAAATGTGCTGTTGAAAGGAATACACTAGCAAATTTAAGAAGACAACATAAATTGCGTCTGTTCGACGCAAAAATGCTTTAAAATCGCGCTGAATAAAATCACATACACACACTCACGTTTTCGGACTTTTCGCTCAAAAAATTCAGTTCTTTCAATGAAAAAGTCTCGTCTCCGACAGGACTCGAAACGGCGCAAGGAGAAGACGATTCTGCTTCTGCTGTCATTCCAATTACTGGACAAGCAGCTGCTGTTTCCCAAATCACCAAAACTGAACACGTCGTACCTTTCGCCAACTGTAAAGGTAATGAAAAAATTCAGGCTGAAAAAAATATAAAAAGTACAGCATATATAAATATACTGTATATGCAAGTGGACTCTCTATAACAAAACTCAAGAGACCAGAAAAAATTCGTTATACAGAGAAAATTGTTGTTCAGAGAATCCATCTGATTTACTTAATAATAATAATGATAAATAATGATAATAAAATTAGAAATAATATAATACGGGTTTGCGATCATTGGAGAAAAAAACTTCTATTGATGGAAAATAAATTCGGCGACCGGAAGATTTCAATTTAAACTTATTCTTCTGCACCTTAAAGTTGAGAAAAACACTTTTTTTTATGAATCAATTTCAGAGACTTTTTTCAATTTGCTGCCCGATGTCAGAAGTGATTGATCAGAAACTTTGTTCATTGAAGTCTATGGGGAAATTTGATCCAACATTCAGACATTTGAATGAAAAAGATTTAATTCGTTATCCAGGGCACCACTACGTATACAGAACTCTATTTTTGGTACTGTACTATTCTGATGATGCATCGAAATCGGCGGAGAGTAAGTTGAACAGCACTGAAGAGTATTGCCAAATGATTGGGGTGTGCGAGTAAAAAAACATGTTTCGGAATTGTTGTAAATCCGTCGGATCTATTTCAAAAAGGTCTCAAAACTTTTGAACCAACCCTCGTCCATCACGTCAGGTCATACGATTGAAATTCGATTTAAATTCATGGATACAATTTCCCACTACAGTACAATTTTTGCCCAATATAATTCGGGGCACCAGCATCCGTTCATTCATCTGTAAAA